GTTTCAAGAAGGGGTTTGAAGGAGGATAATGAGATAGCTTTGGGGATGTTTATGGGGAGCTCCCCTTGCATGTAAGAGACAATGGGCACATCTACACGTCGCCATAGCAACGTGCTATGTCACTGTATGACTCTCGATGGCAACATAGCAATCACGTGAGCCTACATGTGATCAGCAGCTATTTCGCCGTAGCGGTGCGCTTCCCCATTTTAGTGCACCGCTACGGCAAAGTAGCAGTGAAATCTACCTGTGTGCCCAGTGCACGGCACATTACTGGCAGTTACTGCGCCATGCTTTCCTACTTCCAAAAGGGAGCACCCCATGTGGGAGAAAGTAGGGAAATTCCATTTAACAAGTGGGTAACGGAAACTGTCACAATGGGCTGATCAGAGGTGGGAGCTAGGCCTGTGCGAAGCCGCTAGTGTTTGCTTCAGATTCAGATTTGGCTAGTTCAGGGGACAGTGATTCGATTTGATGATTCAAATCACTGTCCTGAATCGATTCTGCCGAATCTCCGAATTGCCCAGGCCCATTTCCTGCCCGCTCTCCCAGCAATGGCTGCCCCACCCGCCCCAGCTCCTGGGACTTTGAAAAAAAAAAAAGCCCCGACTTACGGGGTGCTGTTGGGCGGGAGGGCGATCCCTGCTGCCCCACGCTGCATGGGGGGGGCTCTGCACGAGCCCCCCTGACCCTCCCCATGCTCCCCCAGGGCCCCCATTGCTGCCCTGTCTGACCCAGCTCTGCCCCTTTAAGGAAAAAAAACCAAAACACAAAACCCTGACTTCCCCAGATCCTGCCTGGTGGGGGGCGATACCTACTGTCCCCAATGCCCCACACTGCATGGGGGGCTCTTCCACAACCCCCCTGAGGCCACTGCAGGAGCTAGTGATTCTGGGGGGGTGGTATTTTTATTTTTCTTAAGGGCCGGAGCTGGGGCAGGCGGGGCAGCCAGTGGGGGGGCAGTGAGGATCGCCTCCCCACCAGCAGCACCCAGTGAGTCCAGGCTTTTTTTTTAAAGCACCAGGAGCTGGGGTAGGCGTGGCAGCCATGCGGGGGCTGGGGGAGCAGGCGGGGGTCAGGGGACCTGGGAGAGCAGGCAAGGGCTGGGGGCTGGCAGGGGTTCCCGCATGGTCCTCTTCTCCCTCCTCCAGCCCCTCCCCTCCTCCTCTTCTACTTACCAGCTCCGAGTCTGGCTCCAGCTCCCTGCTGCAGCGGGCAGGGATTGCCCGAATTATCGAAGCTCTCTGAATCTTTTCCGAATTGATTCAGACCTTTTTATTGGTCCCCTGATTCAATTTGGATTTGTAGATTTGGCCACCGAATTGTGCCACATCTCCTTCAAGTCGAATCAGCACCCGAAACTTCACACATCCCTAGTGGGAGACCAAGGTTATTGTTTGTCTTAGAGATGACAGGCCTTCAGAAATCCTGGTGACACATGTGGGTGAGTGTAGCACCATTTTGGGCCCAGTATCTTGGGTATGATTTTGATCAGCAGCTGCTCATACAAGAATAAGTACTGGTTATTCCAGTTAACTCTGCAGTGAGGATATATCTTCATTTCCCATGTGATAGAGGGTCTCAAGCTAGACCTAATGTTTCCCAGTTTAACAACCAGTGGGGCGAAGAACAGAGGCTTCTCACTCAGGTTGGGGGAAAGAGGGTCTCAACTTTGGCATGTGCTTCCTACTCCATTGTCAGAGGCTAAGTCTGTTGGCTTTTAGGTCCTGCTGTAAGTCCTGCTTGTTTTCCCAGTGCTTTTT